ACGAAATAATAAATAACTATTAATTTTGCATGTTATTATATTATTTAAAAATGAATAATGAATGTTGCATATGATTGATATCTAGATAGTAAATATCCTAAAGGAGAAACTTTAAACTCTTAACTATATTTTTTCTCCACTGCCCACCTGAGTTAACATTTGTCAATTCAGGCATTTACAGGGCGATTTTGTTGGCCTCTCTTTCAGGGCACCATATTAGGTGGGCCAACATTGCTCCCACAGTACGGACAGATAGTACAGAGAAGGAAAGAACATATATGCCTTGCCCGGGATTCGAACCCAGAACCTTTCTGGTGCAAGAGTAGTTCCCAAACCCCTGCACAGGCCGGTCGGTTAACTCTTAAATATCTTAAAGTTTATTTAAAACGTAGCATTAAATTGGAATGTTAGAAGAATGTAGTCACGGATTTATAATCTTAAATTTTTTTGTTTTAAAATTTGCGTTTTTCTGTATTTAAAATTTGTATGCGTTGTGGCGGCTTTTGCGTGTTCAACTTTACTCTATATTTTTAGTTCAAAAACTATAGTAAGTAAATACTTGAAATTATGAAGGTGTTTAGTAAAATATACAGAAAATGTGTTGGAATAATTATTCTAACAATGACTGTTAAACTTGTAGTATAAACTACCATCCAAGCTGTATCTGCAGGCTCCAGAAATTCAGCCATACAATTGAAATTTGGTGTGCTTAACAGGAAATTTTTTATTTATTCATTATTCATTTTTGCGTACTGAAAGTTATGACAATTTTAAGAACTATTATACGTTTTTTTAATCACGTTTGCTGCTTTATGTTACCTTTTGTTTTTCAGCACAAAAATTATCGAAATTATGAACTTGAAGTTGTAAAGGAGCGTTGGAAATGTACCAGGGGTAAAATGAAAAAAAAAATTTAATAGTAATTCCAGAATAATCCACTGTTAAACTGGTAAATGAAAGAAATAGTGAATAGAATAATCCATTCTATAGCTCACTAAAATTCAACATTAAATTTAAATCTTGACTTGTGGAAGGGATAATTTTTATTTATTAAATTAAACTGAAATTGAATCTAGCGTGAACTTATCAAGTGGAATTTTCATTTAATAAACTGGCGCTTGAATTGATGTTAAGAGTAAAAAAATAAATAAATGAGATTCCAGACATTTATTTTAAAATTTATTTCAAAATTTTTAAAAAGATTCAAAATTTCAAAAATTTACACAAAAAAAAAATTCTGACAAAATCACCATACTTGAATGGTAAAGACATTTCTTACGCAAGAAACCTAGAAATTTAACCAATGTATAAGGTATTTAAACTATTCATTTAATAATTTTACCATTCGCTGTTGTTACTGTTCGCCGGAAATTCTGTTTTCCAAAATTATAGTTCTTGCTACAATATATTTAGTAACAAATACGAATCTCAAAAGTAAATGCAACCAAATAAATAGTTTTTATGTTATGCTTTTAAGTACCACGATGAAGTTACCGAAATGATCTTCTGAACTATGATTAATTCTGCGATTTATTTGGTAGAAACCGTTTTATGTCCTTGCCTCTTACCAAAAAGAAGGGTAATAATGTGTTTACATTTCAACGGTTTATTTAAAATGTCAGCTTATTTAAATGTTATATAGGAGTTAAATGACTGTTAACTATTTCGTATTCTAATGTTATTTCTTCATTATGATTAGGGTTAAGAGGACAAGAATGATAATTTCAAATGTTTAATTCAATTTTTTAGATGTATTAACCTCCTATACATTATTCTATGGTGACTGTTTTATCCATCTTTTATGAGACAGAGGAATTTATTTATTTATTTACGTACTTATGTAGGTTTCTTTTGTAAATACAAAGAAAAGTTTAAAAACTCTTTTCAGTTTGAAAAACAGATAATCTAATTTTACGAAAGTCAGCAAGATTATACATAGAATGATAAAGCGAAGATCAAATCCAATAAATAAAGGCTCCTGAGTGATTAATAAAATAGCAATACTGTACGTCGAGGCTCATGTAAAACATCAATACATTAAAGGGGTCGCCATTGCCACAGGGTGTTGTCCTTCTGCCAAATGCTAAAAACCATAAATATAGTGGCTTCACTATCTTTGTGCTACTTCCCTCATTTTTATGCTATATGTTCTACAATTTGACAAGAGACTAGAAATTATTTGCATTAAGTGCATGATCATTTATATGTATCTAAACCAAATTTATTTATTTTCTATTAGATATCCTCGGTTACGTTTTGTATCAAACCCGCTACCTGCATTTTAAAAAGGCATTAAGGCCTGACTGGTGTAAAATTAATTTTTCACTATTCCTGGAGTTTACTTTATTGTTACGCATACATATGTAGACTTATATGCTTATTACAATGGATTATTTGCTATAAGCTCTTGTTAAGAGGAGGAACAGATTGCCCAAGTCAGAGAAGAACATAAAAATTTGCACAAATTGTTTTTACTAGATTCGAACCCGCTACCTCAAATTTTCTATTTTAGGAAGTTGGGACAATTCTACTGTAGTAGTTTTATATACCCTAATGTAGTATCTATTATGTAACAGTTAAGTTATACTGTTAAGCCATGCTGAGATTAGTTCAGCCTTGTCCTGGCATGTGTATATTTACAAATGCATATTCTCTTAAAATTTTAAATGTTAGTAGATTATTAACTTTCAACTTGCATAGTCCCGCAGTGGACTGATCATAAAGACACGGTTCCCAGTGCAACACTGAAGTCAGGCATCACTGGCTGCGGTCAGCAAGCGGGGTGGTGACCACTTTGATCAACATGCGTAGGGACCGAGGATGTGAGGTATCAGTCGTCGTTAAACTGTTCTGTCGTAAAGTACTTGACTTCGCGCTCTGGTCTCAAGGCTACCAAAGAGGGGGAACCATCTTCTCTGCAGAGGATAAAAGTTGCGATGACATCTCTTCGGATCATCCTCAGGAATGTTTTCCAGACAGTGTCAATAGCTCATTGTGCAGCTTTAGTGCGACGTAAATAAAGTACTTATCTACATACAGTTCCTCAGATTATATAAGGAAAAAATAACCGACCAGGAGCAAAAGTAACAAGCGTTTGCTAAATAAAATAGATTTAGCATAATGAGCATTTTTCCCTCATCTCAAACTTCACTAGCACTATTAAAATTATCGATTTTTGATCAAAATTGTCCAATTTTGCCACATTTACTACCAAACAGAATAGTATTAAAAACCATATTTTATTATTAATTTTACCTAAAAGTCAATACAAAAGTGCTTTAATAAAAATTACCTGAATTTTTTTTTATGTACAGCCAGAAACATGGTAAATTTTATTATGTTTCAATAGTTTTGACTATATTTTTTTCTCAGCGTAAGAAATATATGAAGAAATATAGCTACCGTTTCCAATTTAAGCTGTTATAATAATATGAGTTTATCGTGTTACATAATTAACGAGTAAAATTACGTCTAATTTATTTCTCTTTATTACGTCATGTAATATAGTATTCTTAAATTTAAATATTTCTCATGACACAAATATTATACATTTTCACATCAAGTTAATTAATAATTTCATCGAGATTAATATATTAACTGAATATTTTTACATGAAATTGCAATATTATTTTATTAACAAAGCGATCTCTTCTTTTGAAATCATCAACTTTTTTTAAAATTACAATATTTATATATTATATTAGCAAAGTGATCTCCTCTTTTAAAAACACCGACTTTTTAGAAAAGTACAATATTTATTTATTTTATTACCAAAGTGATCTCTTCTTTTATAATCATCGACTTTTTATAAAATTTCAATATTTATTTGTTTCATTAGCAAAGTTATCTCTGTCCTGTAAAAAAAAAACCTAATGATAAAAGCGAAGCAAAGACAGGGGTTGATAAGCAGAATAAGTTGGGGGTGGGGCTAAATGGTGTTTCAAAAATTGTATAGCAGCTCGTATTACTAATTAAAATATATATAATTTTTGAAATTACTAAAGAAAGCTAGTTATAAAAAGTAATACCTCATGGAAAATAAAACATGTTATTATATTAAAGAACTTAATAACGAAACAATTTTTTTTAAGTTGAGTAATGTTTAGTAATATACTTTAAGAACCACTTCCGTTATATGATCCTTGTTTCATAAAATTACTTTTGAAATTAAATTCACAGTTTTGATAGTTATTATTATAAGTCGGTTAAAGCTACACAGATTAAATCTTGGCTATAAGTTTTTAATACATTCCCCACACTGCGAAAATTTGTGTTTTGAAGTTATTTTCAATCTCCTGAAAATGTGTCCTATTTTATAACAGATAAGAGTTCCTCAAAACTGAAGTAAAACTACAGAGTGTAATTGTTTATATGGTATTATTTAAGTGATTTCTATTTCATTACGCTGTCTCAAATATTTTTTCATCACAACTTTTCAATTTTTTGTAATAGAAAATATTTTGAATCTCAATTTATGAATTGATATACAAATGAAATGATAGTTAATAAAATGATGGTCGTTTAAATATTAATTTTTTAAAGATGAAATATTAAATTCCAATTTGCTCAATTTAAAAAAACAAAAAACTCAAGTTTGAGAAATCATACATTGGTACATACAGCTTGGTGGTTGATAAAAAATTGAATTTTTATGACTGGATTTAAATGTCTAACTTGAAATATTAACAGCTGTCGAGACGTAATATAACGTCAAAGATAAACGATCTTTTCAAGGCATGCATTTATTTTAAAATATTACGTATGATTCCACCGAGACAAATTACCCCCAGAAAAAAAAGACAAACATTTTTCTTCAGAACTCATCCCTCTCGAATTCCGACACAAAAGACTACTTGAAGCAAACATGACGATCTTTAACTCAACCAAGGACAACCATTTATCTAATAAAATATTCCTCAAGGCCTATCAAATACCATTTCCTTTGGTCAATTTTCGAAAGGAGTTAAAGGAGAACATTCATTCTTTTCAACATGACGACAACAGCAGACGTTTACAGGGGAGAGAAAGTTCGAAAAGAAAAGGAGAAAGTCTTTTAATCTACTCTAATATCAAAAAGTTCAAAGCGGTGTGTGATTCTGCTCTTTAGAAGTGTTGACGGGAGACGCAAGCGCCTGCGCGAAAAAAAATAGAAATCTTCGACACCCCTTCTCGATTCTACTCTTTCGTACTCGGTGCCAAAACGAACTGTTGCACCCTTCTAAGCGGGTGGTTGCAGTAGTTACAGACGATAACGAAGAAGGGGCGGACTGTTCAGGAAGTGATAATATTGGCGCAACTATTTTGTTGTGTTGATAACTGTAATTTTTTCAGGTCGATTTATTTAATAGGTCATGATCTACATATGGGTGACGATTTTCTTATCATAACAGTTAGAAATAAAAGTAAGTTTATTTATTAATTATTTGTGATAATGTTTTTCAATATTTTTTTGATCTGATATGAATGCAATTTTATCAGTTACTTTCATGAATTGATTTTGCACTTCATAATACTGAAAAAGAAGTAGCCCATAAATGAAACATATAACGATTTATTTGTTTTTTTTAAACTCTTGTTAAAAAATTATAAATTCTAATTGCTCTCTGAAATTGTAAAAACTTAAAACTTGATTTAATTAAAACAATGTTATAAGAGATGAATGACCATTTAATGATTATTTATTTCGGTTTTAAAATTAAATTTTTTTGACTTATTTTATAAGTTTAAGATTAAAAGTTGACGTTCTAAATGCTAAACGTTATGAAGCGATAAGAGAAAATGCGAAATAAGAAAAAAAGGAATAAAAATGTATAAAAGATGCTATTGCATAATATTTCAAACTATTTGTTTTAATTTCGCCGTTCTTATTGATTTAATTTTTTGTAACAATCATTTTAAAATCCTTACGCAGATAAAAAAGTAACTAAGCTGTATTACATGTAAGGTTATATAACAGTATTACGCTACTTAAGCAGTGTTGCATCACTATATATAAGTTCTTTTTAAAGATAAATACATCGAACATATTTAAAATAATTTAGTAAATCATTTTTAGCTCATTTAAGATAAGTAATTAAAAAAAGTTTCAAAATTATTTTTCGGCTTTTTGATGTGCTTAAAAGTGAGAAATCAATTATTTTTAATTATAAAAATGCATTCTTTATCACATTAAATTAACCATAAAATGCCATTAAAATGCAAGCAATTAATACTTTATGCTTTCATACAGGAAAATTTAAGTTATTTTAAAAGTATCTTGAAAATAATATTTCGATTCCTCTTTTTTTCCTAGCTCCAGATATTTTTTGTTATTACTTTTGAAAAAAATGTTTATTTTCCCGTTTTCAAAGATCAGTATATTGTTTTTCTCAAAAACTCTTTTGGATTAAATTAAAATGCTTTAAGAGCGTTTTTTTGAAATGCATTTTATGAAAATGTATTTAATTGATATTTTTAGGTTATTGTGATAATTATTATTATTTGTTTAAATTTTGTTGCAAACCTATAAATTGAAAATTCTATGAAAATTTATAAGGTTATAGTTAGGATATCATAAACTTTTTTTTATGAAAACTTAAATCAAGTACCTAACATTTTAAATATCATAATATACTATATAACCTCTGAAAATATTATCCTCTAAAGTTAGGAAATTAAGTTAATCTAATAGAACAGACCAGAGTTAGAGATTTCTAGGCTATATATTGTTTACTGTATACACCGATTACTACTCACATGGATATAAACTGACATAAATTTTAAATTAGAGTGCAAAAAATACTTGAAGAATTTCTCCTTGAAACCCTAAAAGCTTTTTTCTTAAAAATACTGTAAAATAGTTGTTTTATGTCATTTGGTAGCTCTTAATTTTTTCATGAAAATGATAGACGATTTTCTCATAGTACGTAAATATTTCATACAGTCATAAATTGTACATTCTGGTTCAAAACCTTTTAACATCATTCTGGTAGTAATATGATTCTACACACATAAAATGTTTGTTCTTTGTCAAAATACTGATCAAGGTGATTTTTGACCTTATTTGAAGTAAAGGTTTTAATGCTCAAAAAATTATGTAGAGACCGCAACATTGTCGTAGACAATTCATTTGTATTTCACAGTGATGAAAAAATGTATAGTAAATTTTTTTGTCCTTTGAAATGCAAATCACAGAGATCAACGTGACATTTTGCGTAAAAACATGAGGATTCCAGATGTTGAGCTTTAAGATTAAATCCTAGGCTATTCAACTGATCATGAACGGTCTAATTCGATAAATGTAATGTCTCAGCTATCTCACGATTCGTTAATCACCGATTTGCTTCATTTTGTGATTTCATTGCGTCTTTGTTAGTTTAAACTGGCACGGTGAATCATCGTGTTTCTTAATTTGAAACTTTACCGAATAGAAATTTTGCGATGGAGTATTAATGCTGACGTACCGCAAATACATCTTTCCCATTCACTTCGGATAATTTTCTTGCGTAAACAACTTTCTTACCTTTCTGATAGCAAAAAGAAAGTAAAATATGACAAAAATTCCTCTTTTCACTTTCAATATTTGCAAGAGCAGCAAACCAAAAACTACTACGTTGATCAGAAACTTTTCCACAACCAAGCTTTACTATATCAGCTGCCAAAATATATAATAAATATGAGACTTAAGTATGATAAATGTATGTTTTGAGACAATATCACTAAGTCCTCTGCTAGTTAGAAAAATGAAACTATTTTCCGAACAACCCAATATTTCGAAAATTTGAAGTTTCTCTAGTTTTGTTTCTATCTAATAAATATAACTGCACTTGAAATTTTCACAATAACCTTTTAGTGCAAATTTTGATATTGTTAATCATAATTTCTCGTATTGTATTTTTAAAGCATGCACAAATACGTTTCTATTGTGACGTGCGGCATAGTCTTGATTATTTTGTTTATTTTAGATATTAAAATCATTATTTTAAATTTCTTTTCTGTGGAAAGAAATTATTTTTCGTTTAATGGAGAAATCAATTCATCTAAATGAGGAATAATACTGATTGCCTGCAATACTTCTCCGGTGTGGTAGTTGGATAGTTTTCCATATGATTTTGGATTTAACACGTCTTGGTAATTCTTTAAAGAGCCTGAAATTATTAGCTAGATCTTGGATTTTCTTATATAAATTGTGGAATTCTATTTCAGCTTCACTTTTCATAAAAGTAATTTTATTTACTATTCGATCAATTCTCTAGTAACACGAGGAAACCTACATATTTCCCTTACAAATACGCGGAAATTTAACTTTTTGGAACGGAAAAATGTACGCACTTCACAAGTAGTTCCTCCTAAACATTTCTTCAGCACTGCGCTTTTGATCAGTCTCCTCGTGATAGATTTAAGCAGAACGCAAGACATTCCGTACAAAAATATTTTGGATACACAGTTTGAATAAGAGCTTGAACACCTTTAAATTGATCATTCATACCGCTGGTGTTATCATACCCTTGACATTTCAGAAAAGACACGGGTCTTACCCTATGTCACGAATATTTGAGTTTATGGCATTAAAAAGAGCATTATATGTATCATAAAATATGGGGACAAACTATAAAAATCTTCCTTGATATTGAAATCTTCTTGGTCCAATTACAAAAACTGCTCGGTTCTTCTGATGTCTGTTGTGCCATCTGCTGATACAGAGAAGTATTACAATTTACAAAACATTTTTGTACACAAATTTGTTTTTGCCCTCATCGAAATATCAGTTTGTTTTAAATATAAGGGACAATTGTACAAAACATTAATTTCGGACCACTTAATGCGGTCTTCTGAGATTTTGTCACCACATTTAACCATAAAATGAATGAATGATTTTTAATTGCCTTCACTAATGTTTGTCTCGAGATCTTATGTTCGTTTTAACGCTATCTTCTGCCTTCCATAGAAATAAATTGCTTGAATAAATCTTTCCAGCATTTCACGATATTTAAGTACTCTTAGTTAATTTGTACTTCTATGTTCTCTATTTCACCGTTAGAAACTCTTAGACAAGATTATTTATCATAATTTGTTTCTGCATGTTTTTAAAGATTTTTATGGCGCCTTCCCAATTTTTAAGTTCTGTCTTCACGTGGAGTCATCTGTTGGCAAAATTGCTCTGGTGACAGTCTTCTGATTTGTTTACAAACAAAACGTAAACAGTGAAACAGTGTTCCGTTGAAAGCAACTGAATATATCATTCCTGAAAAGTCCTCTTCTTTTTTCCTATCTTTTCCTCTCAAAAGTTATTTTTTCCTCAGGCTTCCAAGAATTTGTTAGCAAATCCAAAACTACAAGGTCAGGTACTTTTTGATTAAGATATTGCTCAACATCAATTTTTTTAAAATTTTAGTAGAGTCTTCTGCATTAGTAAACTATAAAAATATGAGAGAATAAGAAAGTATTTGTAGATATTTATTTATCCCAATAAAATATATTTAGAAGTTGAAAGCAAAATTCTGAGTACGACTTTTAAACTCTCAGCAATAACTACATATGAATATTTATTCTTTTTTTTCTTAAATGTGCTTTCTATTTCTTTAGCTGCGTTGAAACTAAGTTACTCATCAAATAGTTATATAGAAATGAACTAGCATTTCAAGAAGTCATTTATTTGATTCAATAAATTTAAAAGGCATAAGTTTAAAAATGAAGAAAATTCTCAAATTTTCAACAACAAAAAATTTATCATTACATTTAGCAAGAAAATTGTACAATTTTATTTCTATATTGCTTTCAGATATGTATTAAATTTTATTCATTTATTTATTCTTTGAAAAATTTATGTTTTAATTAATGAAAGCTAGATAAATAAATGTTTCGTTCCACTTTCATGTGGTTTAAGGGGTCACAGTACCCAAATAATGACCAAAATATCGATATTTTTTTATTTCTTATTACAAAACATCAAACTATTTCAAATGCATTGAAAAAAAAATCTTCTCTCTATCTACATTTTTAAAAAAAGTTATGAATGATTTTAGATTGCCCTGAAACGGAAATTTGATCAACAGACAGACTTTAAAGTGCCTTTTTTACAAGATGATAATTTTGTGTTTTAATCTTAATTAAATCCCTAAGGAATTCTTTTATTTAAGATAAAGCTTTGAAGTAACCTTTTTTATCTTAAGTATAATACACTTATTTAAATTCTGCATGGAATACACATTTTATGAGGTATTACAATTTTTATAGCATGTTATATATATATCTAACAGGAGTTTTTAATTTTTTTTTCTACTTTTTTTCAAAATAATCCACAAAAAATGTTCTAATTGCTATATCAACGAATGAATTCACAAAATTGTTAAGATGAATATTGCAAGCACTGAGAAAAAAAATTTTGGAAAATATGTTAGAATAAAAAAGCCTTAAGGATTTA